AGAAGACAAGTCTGACCTGGTGCTGGGCTTAGGGGTCTCAGGGGACTTGCATGCTCTTCCTAGTCCCCGTCTAGTGCTACTGCACCCTACTAGGAAGGCACTCCATCTCCATCTCCCTGAGCACAGCACCCCTTTTCATGGCAGCTCTGCCAGCCCTGGCACTCTCCACTCACCTCACATACACTGAGTACCCATGCTGTGCCAGCACTGAGAGACCAAGGCAGGTAAGAGATGATCCCTGCTCTCAGGGAGCTTGCAGGCAAGGGGTCAGGGCCTGGCTATATGTCTCAGATTTCTGAACCTGCCAGTGGGGGCTTGGAACTAGGGCACCTGCACACCTCCCAGAGCTGGAGCTGTTGAGGCACCTAACCCAGGCCTCTGCAGGATGGCCAGGTGCCAACCCCACTCCTAACCCTGAGGAGGAGGCTGCCAGACAGGCCATGACCTCAGGACAGACGTGTGCCAAAGGGTCACCCCTGGGAAAGTGGCCCAAAGGGGATTCTAGAAAGTGACCTCCTTGGGAAAGTTGGGAAGGTATGGGGAGGGGAGTCAGGGCTGAGCTTCTCTCAAGACACTTCTCCTTGCCCTGTTATGAGTGTCTCCCAGCATGACCTGTCTGGGATTGCTAGAGAGATTCAAAGTGTGCTTTCCTGCCTATGTGCGTGTGCTGCGTGTGTCTCTCACTGAGCTCTTTGAGGACAGGGCCCATGGCTTGTTGCCCACCTGGGGTCTGGCATAGCGCCAGTCTCACAGACTCACTTCTGAGACAAACGTCAGAGCTCTCCAGTCTTCTGTGCAGCATGTGAAATTCTCTGTAGCAGTCACTGGTAAATTTTCATTCATTAATTCATTCACTCACCATTCATTGGTTCCTTCATTGAAGCAATAGCACCTCTGCAAAGCGCTACTTTTGCTCCTGCTTAAACTCATTCCTAAGAAGCTCGTAGTCTTCTGGGACCATCCAATCGACATTGTGACCATCTGACTTTTAAGACTTCTTACTGTTGATGATTTAAAAACTGACTCCCTAAATTCACCTTCTGCTGGCATTTCTTCTGCTCCTGGAGAACCAGTTTAACCCTCCTTTGTGTGGCAGCCTTCAGGGCATTCAAGGCATGCTCAACTCTCTTTCTTCCTTTCTTCCCCACTTCCCTTTTCCTTCCGCTCCCCTCCGCCCTCCCTCCCTTCCTCCCTCTCTCCTTCTCTCCCTCCTTTCCTCTTTTCCTCCCTCCTCCCTCTTTTCCTCCCTCTCTTATTCTCTCCCTCCTTCCCTCCTCTCTCCTTCCCTCCTCCCTTGCTCCCTCTTCCCTTCCTCCCTTCCTTTCTTCCTCCCTTCCTCCCCTCTTCCCTCCCTTCCTTCCTTCCTTTTTTCTTCCTTCCCTCCTTCCTTTTTCTTTCCATGTATAGACAGTTATTGAGCTTCCAGAATGTGCCAGGCACCAGGAAAACAATGGTAAAAAGCACATACAGCCGTTGACCTCATGAAACTTACAGCCTAGTTAGGGAGGCTCCACAGATCAACCAAATGGGTAACTGCAAAGCTGCCTCTAGTAAGTGCAACCTCAAGACCAGGGAAAGGCATCATGTAGAGCATGTAAAAGTGGGATACCATCCACAGAAAGTGGGATACCATCCACAGAAAGGGTTTTCTTTCTTGGGGTTAAAACCCCCTGTGACACTTCCTCATATGATGGGGTTTTTGGACTCCTCCCCACCCTGTCACCCTTTATGTCACTGTCCCCTTGAGGAGGTTCCCAGATCTGGAACCACTGCTCCAGGAGGGCCTGGACAGCTTGGTACCCAGGGGGCACCCCCTCTCTGGTTGGACTCTGCCCTCCCATTAGTACGGCCCAAGTCTGCACGCTCATTGCTCCCTGAGGGGCAAGGCTCCTCCCAGAAATGTTCACACAAATTGTTTTTACGTGTGGCCTCCCCCAGACTGTGCTTGAGCTGTTGAGTGTCTGACATTGAGTTCGAGTCCTTGCACTGGCTCTGTGAATGCTCATCTCTCTGATACGGCCTATTCCCCCCACCCAGCAGGTTCAGTTCCGAGTCTGGATTCTGCTGCTGGCTGTGAAGCCCAGGGATGCATTCCCTGTTAATGTGACCGGGAGAGTGTCTGCTTATCCTAGATTAGGTACCTACAGGCAGGTTCTCAGGGCATATGAGGAGTTGGGGGACTTATGCGCCTGAGCTATGGAGTGGCATCTGCCCTGGGGCTCCAGAAAGAGATGCACAGGGCCTGAGGCCTGAGCTAAGCAAGGTGCTGCTGTTCTGTGATCTCTGCCCTGCCTCCCATGCCCTTTCCCAGCCCATTATCAATACAGATGGGGGAGTGGGGCCAGATGCATGTGCATTTGTGTGTCTGTGTGGTGTGCATACGCCTGTGTGTGCATGTGGGTGCAGTGTGTGAGCCTGTAGGAATTGCCTGATAGGCCTTGCCGTTGGCTGGCATCCACATTTTGCCATTGGTAACCCTGTCACTTGGATGTAGGCAGGTCATCCGAGCTCTGGCTAGGGCTCCACTCACCTGCCCTGCCTAACAGCTACCCCAGGTGGCCCATCCGCCCTGCCTGCAGGGTCCTACTCACCACCCCAGCCTCCTCAGGAACCTGGCCAGGACCCCCTCCTCAGTCCTTTACTTCTGCCCACCAGTCTCTCATTGCTGCTGGTGCCACACCCCCTTTCCCAGCCCCCAGCCCACTCCTTGCCTCAGCCCCCACAGGAAGCCTTTTAAAGAGACACCTGGCCCTGCTACTTCTCTGTTTATAACCCTTTCGTAGCTTGGTCTCCTATGAAGGAAGTCCAGACCTACCCTGCCCCTCGTGCCCAGCCCCAGCCAGCACTCCCAGCCTTAGCTTGCCCCACTCCCACTCCAGGCTGGGCCATCCTGCGCGACTCTCACTTCCCTGCTGGAACTGCAGGGAACCGTGCTCCAGGCTCCAGGCCTTTGTGCAGGCTGCTCCTTCTGCCTAAAATTCTGGCCCCTCCAACTCACTTCAACTGTCACCCGCTCTTCATCCTTTCAGGCTCAATTTAGACATTGGCTCCTCCAGGAAGCCCTCCCTGACGCTTCTCCTCGCTCTCAGACTGTAGGCTCTAGGAGGTTAGGGTCCATATGGGATTTATTACAGTGTTTTCAGAGGTGAATACTCAATAAATCTTATTAAACGCATAAAATAATCTCTATGGATTTCTCATTTGATATCTGTAGAATGAAAATAATGCGATTTGACACAGAGGGTTCTGAAGAGGGCGATGGGAAATGATGTCTATGAATTTTCCAATACGGTGCTAGACATATAATAGGTGCTCCAGAAGCATAGTTCTAATTTTCCTGCACTTTAATGTTTACGGGTAAACACACCTTTTCTGTTTAAAAAACTAAAATTTCGGAGTCCTTTTGACCTCAAAGCACAACTGGCTTCTTGCTGTCCAGGTTTCCACTCAAATGTCACCACCTCACACAGATATTTTTGGACCACCCCATATAAAACAGCGCCCCCACCCCACCCCATCTTAACTCTAATACTTGCCACACCATGACCTGAGCTTTATGATTTTTTCACTTGTTGATCATCTGTCTTTCCTGCCTAGAATGTGAGCGCTATGAAGGCAGGGAACTTGGCTGACTTTTTCATTGCTGCAGCCTCAGTGCCCAGAGACGTGCCTGGCAACACAGTGGCTGCCTAGGGGTTTCCAGGGCCAAGGCTGTGAAGTCTCTAGGCACTCCCTGGGGACAAATGCCAGAGAGAGAGAGAGAGAGAGAGAGAGAGACAGAGACAGAGAGAGAGACAGAGAGAGAGAGAGAGAGAGAGAGTGTGTGTTTGTGTGTGTGTCTTTGTTTGAGATGGAGGGATAGAAGTCGGTGAGACATCTCTTCCCTTCCCTCATGGTACATCTCAGGGAGGTGGGGACTTGGAGAAGACTCTCACAGCAGCTCCCTGCCATGTTCCCTAAGGGAAATCAGGAGCAATGGCCTCTCCAGGGCCATGCAGATGCAGGTTGCCTGGGGTGCAGGGGAAGGGGAAGCACCTCCTTTGTGATGACCCTGGGCATTTGAAGCTGAACACGAGCCCTTCTAAGCACCCCTGACTCACAGCATCAAGGAGAGGCTGGGGCACATCTGTGGTTTCTCCCTTGAAGGGATCTGCCCTGCTGCCCCAAGCTCGGAGCCCAGGCCTAGGCCTGCCTCTTATTGGTGACTTGTTTCTTCCCTGGGCTGTATCTGCTCCTCTCTTCACTCTTGCCTTCCTGTCACCAGTGTCTGATGGGCCCTGTCCTACCTGCGTTCCCTGTTGGTACCAAATTCTCACACTTGTGGATGGAGTGGTGCAGCTCCCTGAGTCTCCTCTACCTATGCTGCCCGACTTGGGCTTCCTGGGATCAGCCCCCAGCGCTCAGCCACTGCAGGGTGCTGCTGGCCCTCCCGACCTATCACTCTGACCCTCCACTGAGGCATGTGAGAAGGATTCCAGAGATGAGATCCCAGAGCCTGTCACCCAACCTGCTGCCTCCTCCCCACTGAGGAAGGACACTGTGTCTCCATTTGGCCCCTGCCACCCCTCTAAGGCGGCTCAGCATCAGACAAGCCTATCTGACCTCTGGCTTGGATGGGTGGGGAGGGCAAAGGGTAGTGAGGGTTTGCCCAGGCTGTGACTTTGGACCCACGTGTGGAAGGGAACCCCTGCTGTCTCAAGCCCCAGCCCCAAGCCCAGGGGTCCGAAATCACAGCCTCCTCCTTACAGCTGTTGGCACCCCTGGTTCTAGAGCTCCCAGTCCGGTCAGGGTCCCAGAATGTTTGAGCAGGAAAGGATTTCAGAGTTCAGACGTTTGTGAAGTGGACTGTGCAGTGCCCGGGAGCTGATCTGTATGCACACGTATGTATGCATTCTTGTGTCATGGACTAACCGCTGGGACATGAAGCCCACCCCTATTTTGACCAAAGAAACCCCAACTTTTTTCCTATGTTACCACAGAGAACAGAGGTGCCACATGAGTTACAATTTAAACAAGAAGATTCATTGTTTGAAAAAAAGATTTGAAAATCAGGAAAGCTAAACAAAAGTCATTTTACATATGGAGAAACTGAGGCCCATATGTGTAAATGGCTTCTCAAGGTCACAGTGGTGTCAGTGGCAGAGCTGGTACTGCACCAGGCTGCCCGGATCATAGACTGATGTTTTTGCCAAGACCGGCCGAAATGTTCCTCTCAGGAGGTGGCAGGTGGGGGCGGAGTGCCAGGAAGGCACCGTCCAAAGAAGTGGGTTAAGGTCACAGCCTCCCGACTCCCAAGGGCCCCCTGAGAACAGTTGCACTGGAAAGGTCACTCGAATATGAACTAGAGGCTTGAGGTTTTGGAGTGGAAAGGGGCAGGGTAAGGAAGAACAGAGTAGGGGGAGGGCGGGGGACAGGGATTCATCCTGTGGGTTCCTCACACCCCCACTGGGAGCAGCGCCCCCACTCCAAGCACCCGATTTCAAAGTCTCCCCTCCACTGAAGGGAGGGGCAGAGGGAGCTCATGATTGGCATGGAGGGGGCTGGCTGGCCCTGAGGGAGTGACTGCTGGGATGGGGAGGCTGTGAAGCAGGGGCCTGAACTTTCTGTCTCAGGGGTACCTGTGGACACTCCTGGCTGTCAGTGGCAGAAATGGCACAGTAGGGGGCTCTGTGGCACTCACTGTCTCCCCCCCAGTGCTCAGCTGGGCACCTGGGAAATGCTATTGAATAAATGGATTGTGTCCCTCCTCCCCCAGTACCCCCAGAATCACCAGCCTCCTCCCTCTCCCTCCCCCTGTCCTTCAGAGCCTACAAGGACTGAGTTATTCTTAGTAGGTTTCATTCATCAAAGCATGACAAATGGTGTCCTGGGAGGAATGCCTGGGCGCCATGGGGAGCTGGAGGGTGGGGTGGGGTGCAAATGTCCCATTTGAGGGGAGAGGCCATTGCCTTCAGGGAGCTCCAGATGGAGGGGGAGACACAGCCCTGTCCTCATGAGAATCTCAGTAGATGCAGAAGACACAAAGAACCTAGTCCCAGGGGAGACACAGTCCCTGTCCTTTGGGGGAGGCCCCAGTCTGAAGCAGGGAGACAGCCCTGCCCTCAGGGAGCCCCAGTCTGAGGGGAGACACAACCCTGACTCAAGGAGCCCTAGTCTGAGGGGGAACGCAACCCTGTCCTCAGGGAGCCCCAGACTGTGGGGAGACACAGCCCTGTCCTCAGGGATCCCCAGTCTGAGGGAGACACAGACCCATCCTTAGGGAGCCCCAGTCTGAGGGGAGACACAACCCTGACTCAGGGAGCCCCAGTCTGAGGGAGACACAGCCCTGTCTTCAGGGAGCCCCAGACTGAGGGAGACACAGCCTTGCCCTCGGAGTGCTCCCTGTGATGGAAGATAATCCTCCCACATTCCCCCCTTCTCCAGCTCTTAGTGAAACCCCAGTCTGAAGGGAGAGATCCAATTTCCTGTTCTCAAGCAACCTCTAGTCTCATGGCAGAAAAATAGCTGCCATCCCTGCTGGAGAAGATAGGGTGCCACCCAAGTCACGTACTGAAACTCAAGATGACAAAAGGGAGTGCCGGAGGGGTATCCGGGAGCATGTGCAGCCACCGCGGCCACTGCATGTGGGAAACCTGACCATGACAGAAAAGAGGGGGCTCCCAGACACACTTGACTGGGCACGCTTACCAAGAAACATGCAGACCACAAAGGGGCAGCAATCACGGGGAATAAGATCCTGGCCCTGAGGAAAAGGATGAAAGCACAGGCCAGCGGGCCGGTCTAAATCAGAGGTCCACCTTCATTGGGAGGGCAGCCGGAGAACCCACATTTTCTGCAGCCTCTCACATTCAACCTAAAACCTATGTACTCATTGCAAGCCAAACAAAACCTCACTGAAGATAAAACGTGGCCCAAGGCCATGACTTTGCAACCCCCTGGACCTCAGGAAAGAATTCCTGATAGAGAAGAGCTCTGAGCCTGGTTTGGGGAAGGAGCTGATGGCCAAGCTACCCCTTTAATTCTGGCCTTCAGGCCTGGCTTCTATCTTCAGGGCCTCTCTCACCCTACCGGACATGGGAGGCCAGAGTCACCTCACTCCTCACCAGCTTCCCTACGACCAGCAGGCTACAGCTGGCCAGCGGGCGGGGCCTCCGTGTCTGTGGTGGGGATGTCACCTTTCTTGGCAAGAAGGTAATTTCCCTGCCAGGGGAGGGAGCCCGTTGTGCTGCTCATAAAGCCACTGTTAAACGAGCGGGTCTGGGAGTTCAGGCTGGGCGGGCTTCCCTTCCCTTCTCCGTGCCCAAACGTGGGTACTGCTGCCCTGCGTGCCTTTGCCACTCCTCCCACTGAAGACTAACTTTCCAGTAGACCTCGGTGTTTCTGTCAACGAAATAGGTCCCTGCCCCCTACCCATTCTCCCAGACTCTTCCAGCAGAGACCTTCTAGGACTGTAGGTTTAGCCGAGGGGCCGGCTTCGGTCTCCCCAAGTTCTACCCCCCAATGAGGCCTCACAGCTCTCTTGGGACTGAGGGGCAGTCCCGGAGGGCGGCAGGAGGCGGCAGTCAGTGGTCTGGGGACCGCGAGGTGGGTCGGGGGTGGCGAAGGGAGGGTTCTGGGACCGGGGAGCGGCGGCCTAATTACGGCGCGTTGGCTCAGCGCCGCGGATGACAGCGGCGGTGGGTAATTAGAGCGCATTAGCCGTGCCCCTGCAATCCTGTAATTTTTCCTCGCTCTCGGGGTGTGTTGTAGGAGGCGAAGCGATGCCGGCTTGGCTGAGTCAGACTCTCGAAGCCCAGGAGGGGACGCAGGGGGCGGCAGAGGCCGCGAAGAAGGGACTCCCGCCGGGGGAGGTGCAGACGCAGTCCTCTAGGAGTCACCTGTCCCGGGCTCTTCGGCGCGCGCGCCCCGTCGGCGGCGGGAAGGGGGCGTGACCTGCGTCTCCTCCCGCCGCCGCCGCGCGCTCTGCCAGCCCGCGAGTCCTCCGTACCCAGGCCAGCGTCTTCACCCAGCCACGTGCTCTGCCCCTGGTGCGCAGGTGGACTGGAAAAGAGGAAGGCAAACGCAGTGGCCAGGCGGAGACCTCCCAAATCCCACGTCTCCCCAAGAATCAGAGACGGGCTACAGACCTAGGGCAGCCATAAGAAAAAACGTCAACTACATCTCGAGGGAGTGATGTGGAGTGGGGCCGCTTGCTCTAGTCGAGCCCTGACATCGATTCTGCGGGGGCGGGGAGGAGTCGGCGCGGGGCTGGGGCTGGGAGGGGAGTTTATTTATTAGCCAGATTAGCCAGCATTAATGGGGGAGCGGTGGCGGCCGGCGGCAGCAGGGACATAGCTGGCATAGCTGGCATAGCGGCGGGGCCTCCCGCGGCGCGGGGCTCCGCGGCTTCAAAGGGGCTTAAAGAGGCCCTTGGTGGCACTGCCACGGCCCCGCGGGGGAGGGCGTGGGCGCGGGCGGCGGGGGAGAAGGCGGCCATTGTGCACCGAGGGATTAGGGCTCTGGCCTGGAAGGAATTTTAAACTGCCGCGAGCCGGAGCCCCAGGACTCTCCTCCTGCCCCACCCCTGCCCTCCGGAGCACGCCGAGGTGTTTACCTGCTTTCCCACGTCTGGGGTGGAGGGGGTGTCCTCTCTCCCCCCTCAAACTGGAGGCACCTAGGGTTACCAGGTTTGGCAAGTAAAAACGCAGGAGGTCCAGTTAAACTGAATACTTTAAATAGCGTAAGTCTGTCCCAAATATTGTATGGGACAGACTTATGCTAAACTATTATTCGTTGTTTATCTGATATTCAATTTAATTGGATGTCTTGTATTTTGTTTTTCCTGGCAGCCCTTGAGGCACTGAAATGTCTAATCCATGTCTGGAAACAGATTGATGGTTCCCGAAAATCCAGTGGGTCTCCCCCATTTGAGCGATCCCTAAAGGCAGGGGTCATGTCTCTCCCCTTACACTGGGAGTTTCCTGAAGCCAGACGCTGAGTTTCACCCTAAAGAAGGCAGCTGAGAGCACTATATGTGGCCCCATCAGACTGAGAGCTTCCTGAGGACAGGGGCTAAATTTCACCCATGAGAGTAACACTTCAAGGTCAGTGGCTGTGACCTGTGACACTGGGGTTCCCTGAGGCATGGTCTGTGTGCTTCCTAGAGGGCAAGTCTGTGTCTCCTGCCTGACCCCTCACTCTCCCACCCCCACCCCCACCCCCACCCCCACCCCAGGCTGCTGGAGGCTCCTCCTCCATTAGTGTTGCTTACTGCCCATAGGGGGTGCTAGGGACCCAGCTGACTGGCCTACAGATGGATGGGACCTGTTTATTGGGACTCAGGGCTTCAGTCCTTTGGGGTTGATGCACTTGGAAATAATGGAGGTGGGGTCCCCATCCTGTGAGGCTTGCTCAGACAGTTGAGGGCCAGGACTGCCAGGGCCAGAGGCAGTGGCCAGCATGTGGGAGAAGCTCTGGGTGCTGGGTACCCTCGGTTTCTTCCGGGAAGGACAGTGTGGCCCTTGGTGCAGAACATCCTGCCCACCTTCTCTCACAACCATTGAAACCAAGTCCCAGTCCTCCATCAGCCTCTCCAGACCCCACTGCCTAACCTTTGCTTGTGCCGTTCTTTCTGCCAGAAACACTCTCTCTTCCTGCTTTGAGGACAGCTGAAGTCTCGCCACTTCTTCTGGATGCTCTGACCATCAATGAGGTGGGCTGCTTGTGCCTGGGGGTCTTCTGGTGAAAAGAACCCTCATCCACTCCCTCTTTCCTTAACAGCTTTGGCCACAGGGGACAAAGAGGGGGCTAAGGCGGGGGAGGGGAGAGATAGGAACACTGGGGGAGCATAGACAGAAGGGGAGCAAGAATAGGAACCTCCTTCCCCCCAACCCATCCCCCTGAAGCCCCTTCCCAAGTCCCTTCATCCCCTCAGGGCCTCTGAACTCTTTCCCCTTGAAGCTGAGGGAAGCCCTGGAGAAGCGCTTTCCCACGATCACAGCCTCAACAAACCCCTGCCCCCTTCTCCTTTGACTGCAGCCACCTCAGTCTCACCCTCCGCAGAATGCAGGCCCACTCCGTCACTGAAGGGCCTCCTCCTTGGGCCAGGGCGCCTGCTTCTGCCAGTGGCATCATCACCCCACTCCTCAGCCGCCAGTCATCAGGTTGGCAATTAGCTACTTCCTCTCAGCTGCATGAGGCCACCAAACGTCACAGCCCCTCCCCTGGCCTGCTGCGGCGGGAGTGCTGGGTGCTGCCCCCTACCCTTTGTAGTCAGTGCCAAGTCCTGGCTCAGTCCCCCTTCCCTACAACCTCCTGAGTGCTAGGGCAATGAGCCTCCCATCTGGAGAGCTGAAAGCCTTGCTGCCTTCTCCCCACTTCAAACCTCCTCCCCCATGTCACCCTATCCCATTGGGTGAGGACACTCCTGCTGCCTGGGTGGGGTGATGCCTGCTCAAGGGCACTAGCAGCCTGGGTGGGGCTTGAGACTCAGGTGTCTCTGTTCCCAGTCAGAGGCGGTTTTCACCAGCCCCTTACCTGGGGCCCAGGAGTCTGAACTGAAGTTGGTGGCAGTTATTTGGGAAGGGGAGAGAAATGGGGACTCATTCTACAGACCCCAAACATGCAGGGGGCAGGCCCTTCATGAACACCCACATGGGCTCATTCGCCTGTGCCTAGGCACACACAGTCACAACCTAGGCAATGTATATTCCACTGCAGCGTGCCCACATGTGCCCCAGGTGGGCAAGTAAGTCCACTTGTCCAGACACCCCTCATGCCCACACATCCCTCCTCCAGGTGCGTGCATGCAAACCCACTGGCATACAGTACTCAAAAAGGCAGTGAGCGTGCTGCCACTCCAAAAACAAAATTGGGACCCCATAGAGGAATCTAGAAGCATGGGAGGGGAGGAGAGACCACCCCAACACTTGCTACCCCACAGACCAGGGAATCTTTCTGGGGAAGGATAGGAGGAAGACTGCACTTCAAGGATATGTGTGGGGTGCGCAGGTGGGCTGTGGTGGGAGCAGTTGTGTTTGAGTCTGGGTAGGGGCAGAGGATCTGGATTTCCAGAGAGAACTGAAAAATTCCAACATGTATAAACAAAGGCGTGTAATCTTAGGCAGATCACTTAACTCCCTGGGGCCTCAGTGACTGCATCTGTAAAATGGGAATAATGAGAACACCATTTAAACTTGGTTGTCAAGTTTATTTTGTTTTTATTTATCTATTTATTTTTAGAGACACGGTCTAATGTTGTCACCCCATTATGATTGTCCACTGGAGTGCAGTGGTGCAATCATGGCTCACTGCAGCCTCAACCTCCTGGGCTTAAGTGAACCTCTCACCTTAGCCTCATAAGTAGCTAGGACCACAGATGTGCCCCATCATGCCCAGCTAATTTTACAACTTTTGTAGACATGGAGTCTTGCTGTGTTGCCCAGGCTGGTCTTGGATTCCTGGGCTCAAGCGATCCTCCTGTCTCAGCCTCCCAAAATACTGGGCTTATAGGCATGAGCCACCATACCTGGCCTGATTGTGAAATGTAAATGAGATAACCTGGCTCAGAGCAGGCCCTGAGCTGACATTACTATGGGGAGACCTTCCCAATATCCTCTCACTTGATGGTGGGCTTGCCTAAGAGAGCTGCCCTAGGGAGATAAGAAGCCCTCATTCTGGACCTTACCTGACTGACCATGTGCTTCCCCTGTTTTTCTTTGATTTCTGGGGTCCAGCCCCAGCCAAGGTGGAGGATACAGGCTGAGAGGCATGGCAGGGTATAGGGATGGGTGGTTGGGTGCTCCTTTGGACTAGACTGGGGGTGGGGCTAGGGAAGGGCTGGCTACCTGCCCTGCCCCTACCTGGCTGGCACAATAGGTAACTGAGTGCTGACTTTTATCCCTGGGAAAGGAGGAGTCAGGCAGTGTCTCTCTGTCCAGGCAAATGGGATGCAAGGGTCAGGAGCATGGGTGGAGGGGGCTTCTAGGAATATTCTTGGAAGAAGACCTGGGAACAGGCACTACTGACAGGAGCTACTGCCTGGGCCTACCAGCCTCTACCCCAACTCAACAAATATCCTTGTCCTTCTTTCTCAGAGTCTGTATCCACCAGCTACTCTTCCAGATTCATGAGGCAAAGCCTGCCTGCTCACCTGGATGGCCCCAAGCACCTCTTCAACCTGCTGCCACCGTCCTGCCTCGCTGCCCTTCTCAGCTCATCCAGCAGGGTCTCCAAGTCATGGAAAAAGAAGCGTGTATACACACGTGCTCATATACACATGCCCACAGCCGCATAAGCACACCCAGAAACACCATCGCAGACATGTTCTCACAAGCACATGCACACAACACACTCACTACCCCTCACTTGTATACACATGAATACACACACACACTCATGCGCACTCACAGTCTTACACACACACACACACACACAGAGTTATAATCACTGCTGTTGGATGAATTGTGCCCCCCACCCCCGTGCTAAAAAGATATGTTAGAGTCCTAACCTCCAGTACCTGGGGATGTGACCGTAGTTGGAAATAGAGTGTTTGTAGATGTAATCAAATTAAGATGAGCTCTTACTGGATTAGAGTGGGACCTAAATCCAGTGACTGGTGTCCTTATAAGGAGAAAAAGATTTGAAAACAGAGACATGGAGACACAGAGCGGAAGGCCATGTGATGATGGAGTCAGAGATTGGAGTGATGCAGCTGCAAGCCAAGAAATACCGAGGTGCTGGAAGCCCCCAGAAATAAGGAGAGAGGCATGGAACAATCTCCATCAGAGCCTCCGGAAGAAACAGACTCTGCCAACACCTTGATTGCAGACTTTTGGCCCCCTTCACTGTGCGAGAATACATTTCTATTGTTTTAAACTACTGAGTCACCAAGTCTGTGGTACTGTGTTATGGCAGCCCCAGCAACAAATCCAATCACACACACACACACACACACACACACACACACACACACACGGCTGGCTCCAGGCTCAGTGATGAGCTCAGAGGAGTTCCCCTCGGGAGCTGCTCTTTCTCTGTCATCTTTCCTTTGTGGTTGGTTCAGTGAATCCACAAAAGCTCATGACCCAGAGCAGTTCAGTCATTTTTAATTCCTCTTCCCTGGAGTTCTTAACCATGCGTTGCCCTCAAAATCTGCTCTCAAGATTTGGGTTGTCATATTTAGGAGCACCAGAAAACATACAGGAATACTGTGTCTGCTTGCATCGTATTAGTTAAAAACTGGAAATAACCTAAATGTCCCAGAATAGGTACATAAACGATGGCATATCCACTTAATGGAATACTACACAGCAATACAAAAGGAAAACCTGGTGTTACTTGAGCAACATGGATGAACTTCACAGACATAATACTGCACAGCACGAGGCAGACACAAAAGAGTGAATACACTGCGATTCCATTTACATGAGATTCACCAACAGGCAAAGCAGATCTATGGGGACAGAAGTCAGAATAGTGGTGACCTCTGGAAGGTGGAATTGACTGGGAGGGGCTATAGGGAGCCTCCTGGGGTGCTGAAAACATTCTGTGCTTGTACCGGGTGGTGGTTATGTGGGTATTATATAAAATTCACCAAGCTGCACCCTTACGATTTGTACAATTTGATGCACAAATCTGACATCTCAGTAAGAAGTAAAATTTACAAAGTACCAAAGAAGTGAATGACCAGAAGCCACCAGACTGTTTTCTGGGGGCATTTATAGCTAGAGTCTGGACCCTGTAGGCCACAGAAAGGCTTGGTCCCTGGGACAGCCATGTGTGGTGTCATCGTTCAGTGCATGTGGGAGGGAATTCCACTCTTCAGTTGTGACGGGGCTGGAGACACACACACACACACACACACACACACACACACACACACACACACACGTATACCTCTTGGCAGCTTCCCGTCCTCATTCGCAGTTGCAGGTTTGAGCAGGTATATCCCCCAGGTCCCCTGAAGCCAGTCTCTGAAGCTGTCGAGGGTCCCCCAGGTCGACAGACCAGTGGCCTGGGGCGGGTAGCTAGTGAGAAGGACCTTCCTCCCTCTTCGTCCATAGCTCTACAGTGAACTGGCCTGGGGTGGGTGGCTGCAGGGCTTGCCTTAACCCCTGCTGCACTGGTGTCCTCAGGCCTGGGGCCTCTTGTATGACTGACTTTCCATAATATTTGTTGACTCTAAATGTCCAGCCTGGGGCTGCCTGGGAAGGCCAGGATGTCAAGACAGCCAGACCATTAAGACATTAGTCTTTGGGAGAGGAATGGGAGGTGCACGAGATCCCACTGCAATTGACTTCTCCAAAGAAAGCCTAAATGCAGTGATTTCTTCCACAAGAAAACTCCAAATGAAAAAGAATAGCTACGTTTACTCAGGTTTTGTGATCTGACTGGCATGAACCAAACATCTTTGAGGTGTGTGGCAGTGTTGCCATTACACAGACAAGAAAACAGAGGCTCTGAGATATTGAGTAAAACCCCCAGGGTCACACAAGAAACTCAAGAGAGGACAAGTGGCATGATCATTCCTTCCAACTGGGGCTCCCTGAGGACGAGGCTGCGTCTCCCCTCAGACTGGGGCTCCCTGAGTCCGGACTGTGTCTCCCCTCAGTCTGAGCCCTGTCTAGGAGGGGCTTAGAGGAGAAGCTGGCCTTGAACCTGCCTTCTTTTGCATCCACACTGGTCTTCTAGAGGGTCTGGAAGGGGCTGCTGACTTGGCCACCCCTGCTCTTTCTCACCCTGGCTGTCGCCCCTGGTTCTAGCCCAGGGCTCTGCCTACAGGAATGCCATAGTGTGGGGCCATGGTTCTGAGGGTCAAGAGGGAAGTGGGGGAGGGTATGCAACAGAGGAAGCTGTCCCTTGGTGGCTGTGCTGAGGTCAGTGGGAGGTCCCCATATCTTCCCTCCCTTCCTGACCTGGGCCACTGGGGGTCAGGACCACCCAGCCGATCCATGCCAGAGCCACACTGAGCAGAGGGCTGGCTGGACCCTGCCCTTCCCAGGAGGAGCAGCTGGGAGAAGGGCTCTATTTGTGGAGGGGGCAGGGTGGAGGGCGGCCTCCTGCAATGTCCAGGAGTAGGTGCTCCTTACTCTGCCCATGCCTCGCCAGCAAGAGCTGATCATGTGATGGGGGCCAGGTGGCAGGTGTAATAGGAGACGACATCCTCCTCGGCCTGCCCTTTGCCTATATTAAGTTCCATGCCCTGGCATTCCCCTGCCCCTGCCCCCAGGACTTTCCCTCCTCCCTCAACGGATCCAACACTGCAGATAAAGGAACCATCCGTCCTTCCCAGCCCCACTGTCTGAGGAAAGGGGCAGGGGCCTGATGAGGTCACAGCCCATGGGTGGTGGAGCAAATGCAGTAAATTTAGGCTTTGGGTGCTATTGAGCTGCAGAGGTAAGTGCCTGGGAGGGCCTTGGCAACCCTCAGACTCAGTCCACCTCCCACAGCCACCCACACATCACCTAGGTGCTCACAAGGGCACACGAAGAATGTACTCACCAGCAGCTGAGACACAGGTTTACACTCTTTTAATTTTTATTTTTTAGAGACAGGGTCTCACTCTGTCACCCAGGCTGGAGTGCAGTGGCACAGTCTTAGCTCACTTGTAGGCTTGACCTTCTGGACTCAAGTGATCCTCTGGCCTCAGCCTCCTGAGTGGCTGAGAACATAGTCATGTGTCATCATGCCTGGCTAATTTAACAATTTTTTTTTTTTTTTGTAGAGAAAGGGGTCTTACTATGTTGCCCAGGCTGGTCTTGAACTCCTGAACTCAAGAGGTCATCCTGCCTTGCCCACCCAAAGTGCTGGGATTACAAGTGTAAGCCACTGCACCTGGCGTAGGTTTACATTCTTACAGGCCAATCCATATATACCCATACACCCAGGAGCCCCCAGGAGTCCATTATTACCGTGATAACCTTATTCAGGAACTCATGTGTACACACCTCGCTATGTGTGCAGACATTCATGCATGCTTGCACACTCATGTGCTCACATGCATGCCACCCACTCCTGTTGGCATTTTTCCTAAGCCCCCGAGTCTATGGCAGAAGCATGTAGTCTGGGAGCTATAGGGCATTTGCACCGCATTAAAGGGCTCAGTCCCTGTCCCCCTCAATGGAACTCACCACCCCAGGAGCCCCAGGAAGCCCTGCCTTTTCTCCAGGGTGAGGGCAGGGGCATAGACAGGGTTTATTAATAAACCTGTTCCTGACTGGAAAGGCCTATGTAGAAGCCCCAATCTCAAGCCAATCAGAGCAGAGCTTTCCAGGAATGTCACCCCGAGCAAGCCTTCCTCTGACTCCAGGATTATTTCTCACCCCTGACTTCATCCCCTTGGTGTGTGTGGCTCCTGCCAGGCTCCACTGGCTCTGCCCGGCAGGCCTGCTGTCACCTGGCAGCTGACATCTACCCTGGCCACTGCCCAGAGAAGGTCACACAGCGCATGGGTGGTGGGGCCAGGATTAGAACTGCATTTGCTGTCACTCAGTCTTGCTCCACCCCACTCCTCCAAACAGAGCACAGCTGAGCCTGCTGTGTTGGGAGTGCAGCATGCCCTCTGCCTTAATACCCACCCATGGCATCATGACACTGCCCTCCCTCTGAGTGGGGAGGAAGCTGAGAGCCACTGGCCCTGAAGGCAGAGAGCCTGAGCCAATCGGGTTTCTGGTACTTACTGGCCTTATGACCTTGCACAGGCAGGATTTGACTTGCTTGTGGTTCAGTGTCATCCTTTGTAAAATGAGGATACCACCTGAAGGTAGCTGTGAGGATTAAGAATGTGTGAGGTTGGTGTCTGCTGTTAAGGATTGTACAGGATGGTAAAGTAAAAGGTGTCTATGTTCTTGCCTTTATTGCTAATTCCATTCTCACCTTCATCACCAACACCACCTAACACCTCCACTGTCACACCATCATCGCTACTTCCTCCAGCACTGACATAGCTACCACTGCCACCAGCACCACCAGACCACTCCCTCCTCTGTTGCTATTTCCATCACAACCACCATGGTGCTATCACCCATCATCCAGTAACACTTATTCAACACCTACTATGTTCCGGTCATGTGGGTGACCCTTTGCGGGTAGTCCTGCTCCAGGGCCCCACACTGTTGGGCATGGTCTGTATCTCTCACATCCTTTAAGTCCTGCCACACATCTCATCTCCACCAGGAACCCTTCCCTAATCCACCCTGCACTACTCCAGTTACTCCCAGACACCGTGGCTCAGCTTCACCTGTACCCTCACTGGTTGCTGTGTGTGTGCCTCTGTGCACACCCATGCTACTTAAACTACTCTTCGAAGTCAGTCATCACCCAGATCTCCTACACACAGCACAGTGGCTCTGGGTTCCAATCCTGGCTCTGACATCTGACCTTGGACAAGTCACCATACCTCTTTGTGCCTCAGTCTTCTCAGCTGTAAACTGGACTGAATAATACCATGTCTTACAGAATTGTAGTGAGGATTCTCTGAGATACTGTATTTACTATATAGCACTTAGACCAGAAGCATGCATACAGCAAGTGCTCAATAAACATTAGCTTTTGTTATTTTTATTATTATTATTATTAGTCCTTCCCACCATCCCCCACCCCCAACCAATGTCTGGCACAGGAGTTCACACTACCAATGAGAAAGAATTCACAGGAATGAATGCACTCTGACATTCCAATAGAAATACCTTAGGAAAGAGTGGAGCTTTTGGAAAACCGTCTTGTCCCCCAGTCTGCTCATCTGAGCTCTCTGGGTAAGAGGTGGTCTGTGGGTGGCAAGGACCATGCAGGGAAGTCAGAGCCAGACAGAGCTGAGTTTGAATGGTGACTTCACCAGCTGAGTAACCGTGGGCAAGTCATTGAACCACTTTGAGCCTCAG